GTTTAGAATTTGTAACTGTGAAGATCCATTTGGGAATCTGATTCTCAGTCTGGGAGACAAACTGTTGGAAATCCAAAGGACAGAAAAAATTAACAAGTAGAGGAAGATACAGAGGTAGATAACCAAGAGATTGAGATTCCAATGAGTTTCTTTGTACCTGAGTGGAATTGCTTTAAGGTCTGTTTGGCTGTGCCATCTCATCTGAAATCTAACTTGACCTTCTGCCCAGTAGGGTTTGGGCAAAGAGATTTTCATCCTGATTTTTGGTGACAGATGACAGTCAGATGGTCACCAGATGTGCAGCCAAACAGACCCTAAGTGAACTATTGTTGTACTAGTACATCTACTCATCCCTTGTCTGGAAATTCAAATTCAAGTTGAAGGATTCAGATTGGGTCTGGAGGCTTGGGTGGGATTTGTGTGCTTACTATCTGAAAGAAGCAAAATATTTGGAATGGTAATCTAAGCAGCTTCAGAAGATCTGTCCTCTTCCCCCCTGACTTTTTATCTATGTATTGTATTATTACAGAAAATGGGATCTTGGTTTTGAAGGAGTCAATGGAATCAACAATCCTCACTTATGCACTAGTGATGGTCATGATAAACTCAAGCCTTATGGCATATGTATTTACGGTTTTATTGATAAATGGTCAAGGAAGTTTTTGAGCCTTCAAGTTGGGCAACCAAACAACTACCCGCAAGTAGTTGGTCCCTATTTTCTAGATCTTGTCTCTGCTGTTGGAGGATTCCAGTCAAAACTTCAACTGATCACAAAACCAAGACTGGTGATTGTATCAACACTGCCACAGTTACGTTACTATTTGTAGTATAGTAACAGTATAGTAACTGCGTTACTTAGTATCGGTCTGACCAATACTTTACTTGCAGGTCCTTGGGATGGTATTGTCAATTTCAATACTGTATCGAGTAAAGTATCAGAAAGCCAATACTATACCCAGTAGTTGCTGGAGAAGTATTGGTCAATTATTCCGCCCATTTAGGCTTAGATACCGAGTACAGTATCGGTATTGCGGCGCAGATACCAATACAGTATCGAGTATAGTAACAGTATTGCTTCAAGATACTTTACTTGAGATGGCTGCCAATAGTATCGTGGTTTTTGATACCGTATTGGGTATCAGTATTGGATTGGTGATACTTTACTGAAGTGTTGCAAGATCAGTATTGTGGATTCAATACTTTACTGGGTATCGCCAATACTATACCAGTATAGTAACTGTGGCAGCGTTGATTGTATGGCTACATTCCCAGCTTTGTTTACACATATCTATGCTGGCGAGACTGTTGAATACAGTCAAACCTGTGCAAATGCATACCTGCGCAGATGCATAACCTGTGACAATGCATAGAAAAATTCCTAGATCTTGATACTTTTTACCGCCAAACTAGACAATGGAATTGCATAACCCGTGAAAATGCATAGGAAAAGTCTTCCACCCAAATTGTGCAATTGCACAGGTTTGACTGTACACATTGAATCATCACCACTACACCACTTCTACTCACAATCAAGAAATTGAGTCACTTTGGGCCCAGCTAATGCAAGCAAAGAATACAACTCTCTGCAATGATGAAAAACTGGCCATCAATACTGGGATGTATAATCCAAAGGACCCACTTCAGAAGTAAGTGCTTTACACTGAATAAGAACTTTTTTCTTTTTGGTTTCCTTGCTAACATGAACTACAAATTTTCTGTGTAGGGGTTTGTTTTTACAACTTTGGATACCTTTAGTTCAATGTGTGATGAATTCATTACTTCAAAAACCAAAATTCACACCTCTCAACTGGAGTGGCACCCAATATATCATCATGTTTCTAAACTCCTGAGAATCATGATGGTACCCAAGGACTTCATCCTGTACCCCACAAGGCCATTCAGGAGATAATCAATGATAAATACCCAGACCATGGGGCTCTTTTGCAAGTATCACCTCCCCATTTTCCCCTGCAAATTTCCACTTTGAATCAATGTTTGAGTATTCAAGAGGACCAAATCATACTCAACAATGTGTGGATAGTTTTTCAACAAGTTTCACCCTTGTTGAGACTGATTGAACCATAGCTGGATTTGGAGGGTGTTTATGAAGATGAAGATGAAGATGAGTAAGGCTAATTGTTTCTGAGTAAGATTGATTGTTTCTTCTTCACAGACTATCACCATGTCTGTCCCCCATGAGCACGTTGATGTGCTCACACAAAGAGTTGTGTGAAAAATTTGGACAAGTTTTCATTTAGTTTCATTTGTAGAAAATGTGAATCCTTTGTTAAGAGGCAATCAAAAACCTACCGTGTGTTCATTGTCTGTTAGATTTTGAAAGAAAGGCTTCATAGTGCCTTTCTTTTCCCACAGCAGGCCATATTGGCCTCCCTTTTGAGACTTGGACAGTGTCGCAGCTCAAGTGTTCATGACTATGTACTGTTATTATCTGTGCCAAATATATGTTATCAAATATGAATCTCAATTTGTTCAACTGCTTTCCTTAGGGCTGTTTCAACACGCTGCAAACACACTATTTGAAGTCTGTAGCAAGTACCTGCTCAACACGCAGGTTTCTTCAGATGGAAGTGATCGACTTGATACACTTGCATATCAAGTCAATCACTTGATACAAACAAAAAAATCACGGTCATCAATAACAGTGTTGATGATTGGTAAGTATAGCTGGATATATGCACAAGCAACGCTCAGCGGTCATAATGCCAGTTGAAGGACATGGTGCTTTGTCCAAAATGGGCTCACTGGTGTAAAAAGAGAAGATTCTTTGTAAATACTTCATTCCAGAATGTGCACCGTTTGGCACCGCCGTTGTCAGAAACAGAGTGGAACCAACTCAATCAGACTGCCTATGTCTGATCAATGTCTCACTTAGACAAAGGGTGGTTGGTACAAGTTTTGGAAGACATATTTGAAGGGTCTAAAAACCTTCTACAAGATGTCTTTTGTGTGAGCGCAACAACATACTCATACGGGACGGACATGGTGTATGTAAATCAAGGAGCAGTTAAATGTACAATATCATCAAACTCAATTCCAAGATTCACACAACAGCCAGTTTTTTATTTCATTTACATTCCTTCTCATTTTGATATTTGTGGAAACAAAAATACATGAGTTTATTTCCCATTTACATCAGGTTCAGCTGTGAATTTGGGTTTCACCACTTCTTGTGTGGTTTTTCATATCACCTAATCCCTCAATCAATCAACAACCTTTCCAATCAAAGCAACTGTTGGGTTTCCAAATAGGTTGAAATTTTGAGATTGATTGTCAAATTCAAATTCAATTGTTTGAGAACTTAGAATAATCAAAAATACTTGACATACATTTTTTAAAACAGCCTCATGATTTCAATGTCATAAGTTGGGTAGAACAATCAATAAGCAAGTGACACAAACTCCGTCAAATGACCAGGTTCCAGATTGTAATTGATCACCCTGATTTGTGATTATACTCTTTGCAATTTCAAGATACTTATGTAAATTTCAAAGAAAGTGTTATAAAAAGAGAATTAGAAGGTGAAGACATTTTTTTCTTGAGATAAGAGCAAGCCTATTCATCATTTTGATGGCAGTGTAAGCATTAGTGGATTGATATCGGTTGAAGAAGAAAATTAAAAGGTGAAGACCATTGGTGTTGAGATGAGAACTTGCCAATTTGATTGTGATGTGTACATAGTAGGATCTAGATGGAAAACCCAAAAACCCAAAAACCAGGTGACAGAGACTTCACATCTTGGCTTCTGTAGATTTGACTGGTGAAGGAAATGTGGTGGATATGCATTGTGACAATACATCAGCGATTCACATTGTAAGGGAGAGCTCATCAAACAGACAAACAAGGCATAATACTGATCAAGAATTTTATCACATTAAGAAATAAGTATACAAAGGGGAGAATGTTTCCTGAGATGAATATATAGATACAAAATTACAACCAGCCAAGATAGTTATAGAAAACCATTAGGGCTTATCATACATGAGAATGGCATTAAATCTGTTTTATCTTGTGTCATCACTTGATGTGTACTCTTTATGGAATTTGTTTTTTTCATTTTTTTTTCATTTTGACTGATGTCTGTGACTTGTTGTGGGGGGGTGTCATAGACCCGGTACCGTGCACGATTGCGGTACAGCCATCACGTGCTAAATCGTACGTGGTCCTTTGTTCCATTGTTTCCCAATTCAGAGTTCCAGGGAACATCATTTGGGGATTCCATGTGTTCTGATCGTGCTTACTTGTTTTGTTTCTCAATTTGTTCACTATACCCAGCGTCCCCGAGTGCACACTCACGTACGAGTGATCGAATACTCTTCCCAGTGATGAATTTAGATGGAGTGATGTAGACAAAACCAAAGATCGGTCAGGGATATGTCTACACAGATCACGATTTCAACTCGTCACGGTATTGATCTGATGTGAATGGATGATGTGTTGAAAGCAGGTCGGACTTTGAAGATGAATAATGAATGCAAAATAGAATCACAACACAACAAACACATCCTGGATCGTCGAGAAGATGGACTTGGCATTCTTGCCACATGGATATGATCGAGGTCACGTCAAATCAATCAACAATCCAGCAGATCCGATTTCCATGTGGGATCCCATGAAGGAGGCGTCGAAAGCGAACCGAAGGATGGTTTTGACACTGTCAATCTGCTTTCGGTACACTAGTCCATCTACGAACATCAGTCTGTCGCTAGGTCCGGCAGCAGGGAACACAGATGATTGGAATGTGTCTCTGACGAGAGTAGGAATGAGCGGCGAGGAATCAGGTATAAAATGAGGCTTGAATCGTAACCTTTTCATCCTCATTCCACATCCTACAAATTCATCTTTAGCTCGTCCATTTCCAATACCTTTTGATCAACATCACTATAACTATTTACTGGATAAATTAGTCATCTCACTTTGTATACTGCAACCGACAAAAAACCTTTCAATCAAATCTATCAAACAAATCTTCACTAGACAATATGCGTTCATTTACCATTCTTATCTTCGCTATGGTTGTTCTCTTCCAATCTCTCCTCGCAGCTCCCTCTACTCTTTCGGTTCGTTCAGAACAGACTGTTGGACAAATGTCAGCAGAGTCGAACACGATCCGTCAAAAACTTCTTGGTCTTGGTTTATCTCTCAATATCCTTGGGAATTATGCCAGCAACTATGGTTACCCATTGTATACATGTGGTAATGGTTATATCTTAGGTTGTGGGCTGTCTAACTACCAAACCACCTGCTGGAGTGTTTCGAATTGCAATAATGGATACGGTTATGCAAACTCGGTGGGTTACTTGAATGGATACTTCAATAACTTGATAACCTTGAGAAAAGCGGAATTGAAATCAGAAGTAAATCACAAAGAAGTAAGTGTTAGGATTATCAATGAATAGATCAAAAACACATTATAAACTAATAATGTTGGATTTCTATCTCGTGATGTTTGATTAGAACGAGAATCAAGCTTAAGGAAATCAAAATTTGTTCAAGTACTAACGGGTTCTTTGAAGTCTTTTTGAAACATGTAAGTTGTTGATCTTATCATCTTAAAAATCAATCGGATTTCAAAAGTTCTCTAACTCGTTGGTTTGTTTCACTTTTCGAATCTTAGCGTGGTTTGCACAGGTTGCATTCATTCTCCCCCCCAAAAAATTACTTTTCTTGAATATATATTTGTCGATTTTTCTTTTGATGTTTTTATTTTGTTGGTTGTTGGTTTATCAAAAGCAAAAAAATCTCGTTTCTTGTTTATATCTTTTAGTTGAAAGTGTCTTTCCTTCTCTATCTTCGTTGGTGGTTAAACGTATATGAGCTGATTATTTGTGCTATCTCTGTGTATGAAGTTTTTTCACCATTATATGATACATGGATCTTATGTACCCCTACCTAGCTATCTGTCTTTTGATGAAAAATGTTATTTTGGATTTGAAAAGATCTTACTATACTTCAACCTGTGTTCCGCTTTGAGGACAAACAAAATCCAAGTTTTCTAATCAAAAAGAAGTGCTAAGATTTGGTTTCTTGATGTGAAATTGAGACTTCTTGCTAGAAACTGAATCCAAATTTTGAAAGTTACAGTTTCTTTTCATCTTTGTCAACTTTCAAAAAACTTCTTATGTAACATTGGATTAAGATATTAATCATCTTGACATGGATTATCAAGATTGTGTGACACTGTTGGCCAATGGCACAACATCTTCAGTGAGTTCCATCAGCACTTGAAATCAGGTTTGAACACGAGTACAGTGGCACTGGACAGGCCAAAACCAAACAGCCAGCACCAAAGGGAAAATCTAGAACATCCACACACAGACAAACACAAAAACTCCACACCCACAAATTCAAACAAGAATCAGAAAATACTTTCCAAGAAACCTTAAGACCACATTTTGTGGCCCTTACAAAGGGTATCCAACCCCAGAAAGTTGATTTTTGTTGGCTGACCATTTCAACTCTTCAACTTTCACTTTTGTTTATTTTATTTCTAGTTCCAGACCCACCAATTGCTTCATGTTTTTACTAACACTTTTCTGGGCTAGAGATTTATTTGATTCTTGGATTGTCAAATTGTTCAAAGTAGAAATTTTCTCACAAAAACCATAACCATTGTTTGTCTTGCAAATTCAAATATATTTCAATACTTTTCTAGATGTTTTAATGACATTACAATATTTGGAGATGAGAGATGATGAATTGAGTGGGTGTTCATGGTGCTTAACACTAAAATTTTGATGTGAGTTGCACTTGAGAAGGGGGGATTGGAGCTAGGACTTGTACATTTTGAAATAAAAGATGTAATCTGCCCAATTTCAGGTCAAATAAGTTACTTGTCAAAGAATTAGTGACCTATTTGGTCCATTACTATAATAGGCAGAATAAGCTACTTATGGGTACCCTAATAACATAGGGAGAGGTATCAAAACACTGTGCAGAACGGTCTTTCAAAATTTGAGTTATGAAAGTCACATCTTGAGATAAGTAGCTCGAAAAAAGTTGTACCAAATGTGCCTTAAAGCTTAAAATCCCCACAAGTTGAGTCCAAAAGAGCCACATCAATTTGGACGCGGCAAAATGAAGAGATAAGTGAGCAAAGTTTTGTTTTCTTGAGCCAGCCAGCCAGCCCCCACTGGCAAAAACCTTTCCAACAAGCAGTCCACAGCCTCTGGTCCCCCCACGGCTGGGCCATAAACTTTAAAAATAAAAGTATGACCCAGTAGCAAGTGCCTGAAAGAAAGAGGAAGGATAGAAACTCAAGAAAGAGATGAAGAATATTGCCAATAAGAACCCAAAACAAAAACCCATCTTGGAAAGAGTACCAGCTGGAAATTAACTTCTTTCTGACATCATACATAGCTCTTTCTAGACAGGAATTACATTCTACAAATTTAAAAATGCAAAGATGAACCATACTTCACCAAAAAAGCACTTCACATTTTGCAGAATGCAATTTTTGACCAGAAATTTCTTAAGGCTGCGTTCACTTAGCCCGGATTTTGAGAAATCGTGTTTTGCTTGACCGCTTTTCTACACGTAGAAAAGCGAAATTTGTGAAAAAAAACAGAAAAACACGTTTCATGAAGAATCAGGTCATGAAGCGTTTGATTTACGTGCAATTAAGAGGTTTTCAGTTGTTGATCAGGTTGATCACTTTCCTCTGATCCCCCATGCAATCCAAAAGCCAAACTCGCATCGCTCATGATGTCGAGCTCTTCTGATTCCACCTCCACATCATCATCAACATCATCAGCATCTTCTCGAAGTCCACTCCGCATCCTCCAGACCATTATAAAGGCTGGTCAAGAGTATTTATCATCAATAGTAACTTATAAAAGACCGTGTTGAACTTCAAAGCTTCGTGGTAATCAATATACTCAGGAGATATTAAACGGAAGCGACGTACGGTTTTTAGAACTATGTCAAATGGACAAGCTCGCCTTCAAGGGCTTGATGAAAGCGCTTGAAGGCAAGCTTGTCATTCAACGAAAGCGCAGTGTCACAGTCGAAGAGCAAGTGATGATATTCCTTTTTATTGTTGGAAACTCCGGAACGAATTGCCTCGCTGGCGAAAGATTTCAACGCTCAGGACACACCATCAGCCAATACTTCAACCGTGTCTGCCTTGCTATAGCCTCACTTGAATCAGTCTTCATTGTCCAACCTACTGGGGGTGAGATTTGTCCAAAAGAGATTCGAAACAAATCCCGGTTCTTCCCGTATTTCAAAAAGTGCATGGGTGCTATTGATGGCACCCACATTCCATGTATTGTACCCGCCGATCGACGCCAAGCTCACCGGAATCAAAAGGGAAATCTCAGCCAAAACGTGTTGGCCGGCTGTTCTTTCGACATGATGTTCACGTTTGTGTATGCCGGTTTAGAGGGATCACATGCCGATGCACGTGTCCTTCACTGAGCGCTTGAAGAGCAGTGTTTTGTAGTCCCAGATGGTAAGCTTCTTTGATTCTTTTCCCTATCTTGATTGTTGTATGTATTGATTTGATTCTTTTTTTTGTTTCAGACCACTTCTATGTGGCGGACGCTGGATACGCCAACGTTCCGGGATTCCTAACCCCTTATCGCTCTGTACGATATCACCTCAAAGAGTGGGAACATGTGGGATTACGGCCTCAAAACGCCAAAGAATTATATAATCATCGGCACTCTGCCCTTCGAATTGTGATCAAACGCATCTTTGGCGTTTCGAAGATGCGGTTTCCGATACTTGCGATGATGCCGTCCTACCCCTATAAAACGCAAGTGATGATCGTCATAGCGTGCTGTGTTCTCAACAACATCATACGAATAGAGTCTGGTGAAGATGAATTTTACGCCAAGTATCTTTTAAAAGAACGTTTGGAGACAAGATTAGCAGGAGACACCGAACCAGACTGGGTTGAGCCTAACCCCAATGAGCGTACCCAAGCCGCTGATCAAAGAAATGACCTCGCAGAATGGATGTTTAGGGATTATATAGCTGTGCCTGTAGCGCGTAGGCACGCCTAGAGTATCAAATGTATCATTTTTATCATTGTAACCCTTTGTTTTGTTTTGTTTTATCATTGTAAACCGTTGTATCATTGTAAACGATTTGAACTCACTATCGAGAATGGACATTTAGGGCACATTTGTAGACTTCAACTTTGTTTGTGTATCATTTTATCATTTGATTTGATCTAATATATAATTCGTTTTTCATACAACGTGAGCGCTAAGATACAAAAGAGTGACTGATGATATAGATATAGAAATTTGAATAGTACTGTTGTTGATAACCTCAATAAACTACCTTCTTTCACTCATCATCTGCCTCCTGATACTCATGCAGCACACCGGCTTCTTCTTTCAACCAATCCCACCGATGCTCGGGTTTCATGACAACAAAGAATGAGGCAGTATTGTCGTCCTGTAACTTTTTGGCTACCTTAATGATATGATTAGACTTGAGTTCCGTGTCACATCCCTTGTTAAATATCTTCATTGCTTCAGATCGACTTGGATGCTTGTCCGATTTGATCCGAGCAAGAGTTATTGATAAGATGGATCACAGCTGATATAGAAATGTTAGTTGATATAGGAAAGGTAAGATTGCATACTTGTATAACTAACCTGATATAGAAATGTTAGTTGATATAGGAAAGGTGAGGAAAGACCAATCCATCTACAACCAAATCTACAATAGATATATAACAATATGCTAATAGGTTATAAAGATATTGATAGAGAGAAATGTAATTAGCATAACAACATGATGTCATTTACAATCACTGTCACATAATAGACATCCATAACATCCCCCCGTGCTAATATCATTATAATTTTAAAACACTCCCAAAGAAAGCCTATGTTTATTTAATAAAATTTTTGATAACCCTTTCGTAAACATGTCAGCCAACATACTTGAAGTCGAAACATGAAACAATTTTACAATCCCATCTTCCACACACTGCCTCACGAAGTGAAATCTCGTATGAATATGCTTCGTCCTCGAATGGTGTGATGGGTTTTGAGCTAAAGCCTCCGCACCTTCATTGTCGACACTCAATTTTATGACTTTATCCTTTGAAATATTTAACTCATTTAACAATGAAACTAACCATCTTGCTTCGCGACACGAATCACTCATCGCCATGTATTCAGACTCAGTACTTGAAAGCGAAACTACTCTTTGTTTTCTTGATCTCCACGAGATAGGTCCGTCTCCCAACATAAAAACGTAACCAGTCGTTGATCTTCGTTGATGTCGATCTTCTGCCCAGTCAGCATCAGAATAAGCTCTCGGATTTAATTCAGTTCCTCCTAAATTCAAATTTAAATCTTTTGTTTTTACTAAATACCCCAAAACCCTTAGCGCTGCATTCCAATGACCATCAGTCGGTTTCTTCAAAAACTGCGACAACCTATTCACCACAAATGCCACATCTGGCCTCGTACACTGTGCTACCCACAACAAACCACCAATAAGACTTGAAA